GCCATGTCAATTCTTGATTGATATCCCAAGTCCCAAAATCAACAAGTTGTGCAAACCAAGATAGTATCAAAATACTAGAAATGCATTAATCACATCTCATGCACAACCAAGATTTTAGAACACACAAGTCATGCACAAAGTTCATCAACATCATGGCATGTGAAATGTCAAGAAATCATAGTGTGCATCTATATAGATTACAACCAAGATATATATAGCACATAGAATTCATTGATGTAAATATACCACAAGTATAAGATTAATGATTTAATTAACTACTAAACAACACATGTGTAATTAAATCATTCCAAGACAAATATGCATGTTCATTAAGTACATTAATGAAACCTAGATACAAGGAGTCATGATGCTTGATAAAAAAAAAAAGGTACATGAAATACAAGTCTGATTCATAAGTTAACACGAGTTCAATATCAAAGCATAATTAACGCGATGGAAGCATATAAGGAAATTTAATCTACTTAAGGAATTAAATTGTCAAGATTACAAGACAAGTCAAGGATCATGTCAAGGACAAGTCTAATGTCAAGTTACAAGTTCATTACATACAATACACAGCCATGTGAATTAAGTCCCATACAAAGGAAATAATAAAATATAAGTTTCAAAACTTATCCGGTTATTCTCAAGTTGATACAAGTGAAGGAACTTGTCATGGGAAGCATGAATACCAAGTTAGAAAGTTAATCAAGACCAATGAGCCAATGAATGGATTTTAATTAATCCTTTTAATTAAAATCTCTAAGTTTTGAAATTCATCCAAATAATCTCAAACTAATATATGTTATACAATATGTCAAGACTTGATTTACAAGTACGATACAAATGATTTCTATGCAATGTACGGTCATGAGTATTAAACTTTAATATTAGAAAAATAATAATTGAAAGGTTTCAAAACTAATCAAATATTCTAGATTTAATATATGTGAAACTATATGACATGCATATCAAGAATATCAAATCGGAATTTCAATGAAGTGAATACTACACTCGGAATAAATTAACTAATCAAATTAATTAAATATTACTATATTTTAAAACACCTCCAATTAGTCTCAAATTCACCTATGTTGAAGAGCATGCTAGGGCCTAATATAATATACTAACACACATTAATTTCAAACTAGTTAAGGCCACATGAATTAAATATTTACTCAAGATAAATATTAAATAAAAACTTCATTACTTGTCCAAATGCTCTAAATTTAATATATGTCAATGACCATATTATAAAGTAATTTAATATCATGTCATAAGTTTAAAACTTGCTATAACCCACCGGGAAAATCAAATCTCACTCAAGAAAATTAAATAATAAAATCTCTAGATTTTATATTTAAGCATGTAAACAAGTTGTATTAGCATCAATATCATGCTATATAACAAGAATATAAATTATAACACCCCCTACCTCAATTTGAGATGAAAATCTCAAAAGTCCACCGAAATAAAAGTACTCCAAATCCGACGACACCGAAGGGTTTTGTCGGGGACAACACGATGAACAAGAATCCGAAGGAAGCCCCATGAAAATCACAACTTGACTTTAAACCCGAACTCAAAAAATGGTCAGAAATGCATTCTAATAAGGGGGAAAGGTAGAGCTCGTCGAGGGGAACAATAAACGTGAAGGCCGAAGACTTTTTACTTAGGAAATCAAGTAGAGGAGAAGAAGAAAATGTGGCAGCCCAAGGAGTTCCCATGGCTGCCGGCCAAGAGGGGGAGGAAGATGATCAAAATCTTAATTTTCTTCTTTAAGTCCCCTATTTATAGAAAATCTCAAAAAGTGCCCCGCCGGGTCCAGAAAAGTGGATTTTGAGCAGACGTGCTCAAACGGTGAAACTCCATGAACAAAAAAGATTCAAAATGAGAAAACATAAACAACGGAAGAAACGAAGCGTCGAAAATCGAGTCCCGAGCAGAGAGATATGCTCCGAACAAGTTCGGCGGCAATCGGGGTCAGAAACTCTGAAACTGGAGAAAAACGATCAGAACGGAATTCTAATAGTACACGACTTGACGAAATGTGAAAATGAATCCTGTACGAGGATCCAGGCTCCAGACGAGGTATCTTTGCAATAACTTTCGTTAATTGCACAATGGCCCCTCCAAAAAGTGAAAACTGCACTAATGCCCCAGAATGAATATATCTTCCAAAAATATTTTCTTAAAAACCCCTGAAATAAAATATTTTCAAATAATATTTACGAAAAACACCCCAAGAAAAGAAAATAATTCTAAAGAAATGTGCATCCATGCCCCTATGGACACCGGGAGCAACCAGAGTACTTTCTTGCAAAAGTAAAGATACGTATTTCATGGAAACCACTTCGAATGAAGACGTGTGAAGTCAAAAACTAACTCCGAGCACGAAAAGTGAGGTTTTACCAACAAAGTGACAAACGGGGAAAAGACAGAATAAGGAAAAGGACGAAACAGGAAAAAGGACAAAAAGTGAATAATATCCGAAAAGTGAAAATGTGAAAATGACTCGGTCCTCAAAGGAAGTCAATCCAAATGAAAGAGTCTCAAAAACCATTTCCGAGCACTCAAGACGACACTATGAGACGAGAAACTGAACTCATAAAAGAAAATTAAACGGAAAAAATTTATCCTTAAAATTTCAGAAAAAGGAAAGGGAGGAAAATGACCAGGTCATTACACCTGAGGTTAGGCATAATTACAGGCGGTTTACATTTCAAAAATTACACTAACCTCCCTCCAAACTGATCGGCATTTTATTCCGGCCATTGACGTTGTTAAATGACTAAAACACCCTCTAATATTTTATTAATATGACATGACATAAAATCTTTCTGTGAAATTACTATGTTATCCAAAAATAAAGTTATACTTGTGTAATGAACAATATACACACCTACATGTATAAACCCCCGCCGCCTGCCACCCGTCGGCCCCCACCCACCAAGGAAACCATTTTCTCCGGCGACCAATTTTATTCGATGTAGCCATTTCCTCCGACTATCCATTACATTAATCATTACCACTCAACTTTCCCTCTATATCACACACACCATGAATACATACACAGACAACTACCACAGGTGATGACCGTGGTGGCGCCGCGGCCACAACCACCACCATCATAACCACCACCACTGGCGGACTCTTACACAACGACAACCAACACGACACTATAGGTGAAGCCAACGGTAACGACCTAAAATAAAGAGACTGGGGAAGAAGAATACTTGGTGGATCCAAGAAATTTTTAGAGAGGGAGTGTTTTAACGGGTCAAACTTATAATGTAAAGATATATAGATGTATGGGCACGGCAGAGTAGAGCTACCATCTCCAGCATAAATTCACCGATTCGAACATGAACATCTACCGCCTCGATTTCGCCGACATGGACGTGATTACCATAATATTCACCGTCGAAGTCGCACCTGGCGAAACTCTGGATCGGATGCAAATCCAAATTCAGAAACCGTAGCGAGCTCAGCCGGTTCTCGCTAGTGAAGCGGTTCGAGTCGCCGATCAACTAAGAGTTGCGAGACTTGTGAAATGATGACAATTTAACGACGCTGAAGTAGTCGCTCTTCTGGTACTCATTGAGTTCGTCTCGGTCGTCGTCGTAGGGATGATGCTTTCGCAGAAGACGATGTTGTTGATTAGGTTGATTACGAAGTTCAGATCGATGAAGAACTCGAATAGGTCTTAATCTATTGGGGGGTTTTGGATTAGGGTGCAGCCACGAACGGCGAAGCTGAGGAGAAGAGCTGCTCTGTCGACGGAGGGGTTTCCATAGATTCCAGCGGCAAGGGGCTCCATCGATTTCAACAGTGATCTGCTGTGGTGGCGACGATTTGCAGCTATGTATATATATGTAGATCTAGAATGAACCAATGTGTATATCTATATATATATATATATAGAGAGAGAGAGAGAGAGAGAGCAGTAGATATATATTATGTATATAAGAGAACCGTTCTTATAATAGGTTTTAGAGAGAGATGTATACAGAAAAATAAACAATAAACTATGATTGTTTTAAGGGTATATAAGTAATTTTTAATACAAAGAGAGTATTTGCAAAGATAGTAAGGGCAAATGTGGTATTACAGAGTTAAAAATAGCTGATGTCATCAGAAACCGTCATTGACCGGTGTTGACTATGACCGAATGAGACAAAGTGTTATGACAGAGCAAACCTTGAGAGAGGATGGTATAATTTTTGAAACGTAAAGAATACCGCCTATAATTACGCCTAACCTCAAAAAAAATAAGTAAAATTATCCCAATTAATTAACCTTATAACATACCCCCTCATGTCACAAGAAAGTAATACTATTAGGTCAATTAAAAACGAATACGACCCGTAACACATATTATCACTCCTACCTTTAAACATGGCTTGAGAGTTTGTTCTATCTTTTAAAAAATAAAAAATAAAAATAAAAATAAGTGTTTAAAGCTTGAGAGCTTCTTTTCTTTTCTTTTCTTTTCTTGAATTAATCCATATATATAAGAAATCAACTCTCGTGATTCGTGCGCAATCATTGGACAAGTTTGACCAAAGATGATGAACAAGTAGCTGAAACACCATGACATGATCACATTTTGCAGTTGTCAATTTTTTTATGGTAACGATATGTCCAAGGTGGGACCTGTCAACGAAGTGGGTCCCACCACCCTTGCATGCATGACACGTGTACTAGCAACCATCCCAGAATTAACTCTAAGAAATATCCATTCTAAGCCATACAGTTACTTCAGACGAATGCTCCGGTTTTTTCCACAAACCCTAAGTGGGGCCCTCATGGTACTGCTCTCCTTATTAAATTGATAACTCCAGTTCATGTACATTCTGTTGATATCCTTCCCTTACAACCCTCCTTTTCATCCTTTCTGAAACACACTCTCTCTCTCATATATATATATATAAACACAGAGGAAAAATACTGATTTTAAATTATTGGCTGCACAACTGCATTCAGAGGGAGTCAGAGAGATGGGACACCATACATGCTGCAACAGACAAAAGGTGAAGAGGGGCCTATGGTCACCAGAAGAAGATGAGAAACTCATCAACCACATTTCTGCCTATGGCCATGGTTGTTGGAGCTCAGTTCCAAAACTTGCAGGTCACTAATAGTACTCCCTCTCCCTCTCTCTCACACACACATCATACTGTTTTGTTTAGTTTGTTGAGGACTTTGCAACCCTTTTCATTTCTTTTCTATGTTTTCTGCTTAAGTTTTCAGTCTTGCAATTGCCAATAAATTTAACTATCGATCTATGTGTGTTTGTTTATTTGTTTGTTTATATGCATATATATATCATCACAATCTCTCTCTCTCTCTCTCTCTCTCTCTCACACACACACTCACATACGTACTGTTTTGTTTAATTAGTTGGTGAGGACTTGCAGGCCGGCCTTTTCATTTATTTTCTTTGTTTTGTACTTAAGTTTTCAGTCTCTTGCCAATAACTTAACTATTGGTTTACATGTTTTTCTGTGTGTACGTGTTTCTTTGTTTGTCTATATATAGACAGAGAGACACACACAATTTTCTTAATTTTCAAGATTTTAAGCATATATGAGTTTTTATATGTATATATTATTTTCCTTTTTTTGTGTGTGTGTGTGTTGTGTGTGTGTATTTCATGGTGCAGGACTGCACAGATGTGGCAAGAGTTGCAGACTTAGATGGATAAATTACCTTAGACCTGATCTAAAACGTGGGAGTTTTTCTCCCCAAGAAGCAGCTCTTATCATTGAACTCCAAACAATTCTAGGCAACAAGTAATTCATCATATATCTCTAATTTATATTATATATGATTGTTGTAATTGTGTTTGTTTGTTTGTTTGTGTGTGTGTTTACATGTTCATGCAAAAGGACATAATTAATTGTGTACAGATGGGCTCAGATAGCTAAGCATCTACCAGGAAGAACAGACAACGAAGTCAAAAACTTTTGGAATTCAAGCATCAAGAAAAAGCTAATCTCTAATGGTGATCTCTCTCATTTAGCCACCTTATTTCCAAATCTACCCATCACTAGCACTACTGCCTCTTTTGAAGGTTTCTTCTCACTAAATGCAAACCCTAATTTGATCCCAAGTGCCCAACAAGACCAGATTTACACACCCAACCCAACCTCGAGTTTTCAAGGCTTTGACCCTATTGACCTCAAGTTTGATCAGGTGATGATGAACTACAAAGCCAATTTTGTTAATTCTGTGCCACTTGACACACCTAAATATGACCCTACAAGGTCATTGGGCTATTATCAACCACAACAACTTGATGGTGGACATGTTCTTAAACAAGATGACTACATGATGTCCAGCAACCCTAATATGACAATTCCACCATATGATGATACATTGATGGTGCCTGTGACGCCGGTTTCATCGATTTCGCATGATCAAATTCATCCAATGGCTACACTCTCATGTTTTCCATATGGGTCCTGTCAGCATGATCTGCACGTGCCGGTGAATCAAATGGACTACATTGATGCCATCATGTCATCGTCTTTGTCATCATCGTCAGCTTCATCCACAATATTGTCCAGCCAATTTGTTTTGAACCCTAATCTTCCTTCAAGCAACTGTAACCCTAGACATGGTAATGGAGGAGGTTGTAATTTGCACTATGGTGACTATGGATTCAATTAGTACAATTAATGCATTGATTTCTTAGTATTATACCAAGTCAAGTGCATTGTACATATGAATGAAAATTTAAATGTTACTAGTACTTCCGCCACTTCATTGACAAATGTCCATTTTTTTTTTTTTTTTTTTTTCGTGAAGTTTAAGCAAGTTGTATTTACAGTGGGCTTCGATCAACTTGGGCAGAAGAAGAGCTAGGCCTTAGAGGCCAAAGTTAACTTTACAACAAAACAGACGTGGCTCAAAGGTCCCAACAAAACTAAAGAAACATAGGCCCATATAGGCCCAAACTAAGCCTGCAACAGATTTCAATTGAATTGGGTATTTGTTGCACACCCTGTCTCTCATTTTTTTTTTTTTTTTTGTCAACGGGATTTGTGCTAAGTGACTCCACATGGATCGAGTAAAATTCAGATTATGTTTGCTGGGTGTGGCCCCTAAAGAATTGTTTGCACATAAGAAAATCGATCATGAAACTTGTTGTTCATGAGACACCAGAGTTCAAGTCTTTTCCAATTACGTCAACCCCCCAGAATTAAATCATATCTCTTTGAAATGCACAAGTTCTTGTTGGGAGAGATGACAATAAACAAACGCAGCGGAATAATTCTTCTCCCCATATGCAAGCAAATATAATATATTTCTACTTTTATATGTGCTGAAAATAATAGAGAACAAATCAATCACACCAAACCACAAGAACACAAGCAATTTTTTATGTGGAAAACTTCCCCAATGTGAGGAAGAAAAACCACGTAAAAAATTGCTTGTGTTCTTGTGACTTGGTGTGATTGATTTGTTCTCTATTATTTTCAGCACATATAAAAGTAGAGATATACTATATTTGCTTGCATATAGGGAGAAGAATTATTCCGTTGTATTTAAATATTGTCATCTCTCCCAACAAAGTGGTATCAGAGCCATTATCATCAGTGTGAACCTTCTCAAGTTCAAGTAATTTATTGTTCAACGCATCTCTGATCCAATGGTATCATACATCAATGTGCTTAGATCTTGCATGAAAACTGGAATTCTTAGCAAGATGAATAGCACTCTGGCTATCACAAAACAACACATATCTCTGCTGCTTAAAACCAAGTTCTCTCAAGAACTTCTTTGCCCATAGGAACTCTTTAGTCGCTTCCGTTGCTGCAATAAACTCTTCCTTTGTCGTAGAAAGAGCAATACACTTCTGAAGTCTCGATTGCCAACCTACAGCCCCACCTGCAAAAGTGATCAAATAACCTGAAGTAGACCTACGAGTATCCACATCCCCTGCCATAACTGCATCTGTGTAGCCAACTAACAATGGTTGTCCGTTTCCCAAACCAAGTCTCAAACTGGAAGTGCCTCGAAGATATCTCATGATCCACTTCACTGCATTCCAATGCTCTCTTCCCGGATTTGACAAGAATCGGCTAACTACACCAACTGCATGGGCTATATCTGGTCTTGTGCAAATCATTACATACATCAAACTTCCTACTGCTGAGGCGTAAGGAACTCTTTCCATGTCTTCCTTTTCCTTATTTGTAGAAGGACATTCCTTTGTACTCAGTCTGAAGTGGGTAGCAAGAGGAGAGCTAACCACTTTAGAGTTGTCCATATTGAACCTCTGAAGCACTTTTTCAATGTACTCCTCCTGTGACAAATATAACTTCTTGGCACTCCTGTCACGACTGATTCTTATGCCAAGAATTTTCTTTACTGGCCCCAAATCCTTCATAGCAAATGACTTACTCAATTGCTTCTTCAACTGTTCAATCCTTGAAGCATTCCTGCCAACAATCAATATGTCATCCACATAAAGCAGTAGAATAATAAAATCATCATCAGAGAATTTTTGAACAAATACACAGTGATCAGAAGTTATCTTCTTGTAGCCTTGCTTCCCCATAATAGACTCAAACTTCTTATACCACTGTCTCGGTGTTTGTACACATAATCCTCTTTCCCTTTCACTTTGAAACCCTCTGGCTGTTCCATATAAATCTCTTCCTCCAAATCACCATGAAGGAAAGCAGTTTTCACATCCATCTGCTCAACTTCTAAGTCAAAACTAGCTGCTAGGCCGAGTACTATACAGATCGATGACATCTTTACGACTTAAGAGAAGATCTCATCAAAGTCAATACCTTTTCTCTGACCGAACCCTTTGACAACCAATCTAGCTTTGCACCGTAACCGTGAAGATAACTCATTTTGCTTCTTCCTGTAAATCCACTTGTTTTCCAAAGCTCTTTTTCCTTTAGGTAGCTTCACTAACTCAAATATGTGGTTATCATGCAATGACTTCGTCTCATCTTGCATGGCCTCAACGCACTCTGTCTTTTGTTCATCTTCTATGACTTCTGCAAAACACTGGGGCTCTCCCCCGTCAGTCAATAACACATACTGTTCTGCTGAATACCTAGTGGAAGGACGTCGGTCTCTGGCAGACTTCCTGGATGGAATCACTGGTGGAATCTCTGGCGCTGTCAACTGCTCATCAGTCTCAACATCTCCCTGAACCTGTAAGGGAACATCCACATCACCTGTACACTGGTGGTCATCCTGACCATCATTTTTGACCTGAGATAGCAGATTCTTCAGAGGAGCTGGATCCATATCAGTCATGATATCACCTTGTTGAGACATAGATTTCCCTGCTTTCTCAATATCCTGAATCGTCTGATCTTCTACAAACACGACATCTCTGCTTCTCACAATTTTCTTCTCAACTGGATCATAAAGCTTGTACCCAAACTCATCTTGGTCATAGCCAAGAAATATACACTGTCGCGTTTTCACATCAAGTTTGGACCTTTCAGCTTTTGGAATATGCACAAATGCTTTGCACCCAAAAACCCGCAGATGATTATAGGATACATCCTTACCTGTCCAAACTCGGTCTGACACATCAAACTGCAGAGGAACACAGGGTGTAAGATTCAACACATGAACAACTGTGCTCAATGCCTCCCCCTAAAAAGATTTTGGCAATTGGGCTTGTGAAAGCAAACATCTCACTCTCTCAACCAGTGGCCTGTTTATCCTTTCTGTTACGCCATTCAACTGAGGAGTTTTTGGAGTTGTCTTTTGATGCCGGATACCCTGTTGTCTACAATACTCATCAAAAGGACCAGAATACTCTCCGCCATTATCAGTACGAATGCATCTCAGTTTCTTCCCAGTCTGTCTCTCAACTAGGGCTTGGAATTGCTTGAACACTGCCAACACTTGGTCTTTTAAATTCAAGGTATATACCCACAATTTTCTTGAATAGTCATCTATGAAGGTCACAAAGTATTTAGACCCACCAAGTGTTCTCGTCTTCATAGGGCCACCACACACATCTGAATGTACCAAATCCAGTATCTCTGACTTTCTCGAATGAGGGGAATTTTTGAAGGAGACTCTGCTTTGCTTCCCTGACAAACAATGAGTACACCTTTTCAGAAGTGTACTTTTCAGTCCACATAGTAGACTTTTCTTCTCTAGTAGAGCTAATCCTTTCTCACTCATGTAAGCCAGTCTCTTGTGCCACAATTATGTTGTATCATTATCCTCCATCGCATTAATAATGTCGTTGGAGATCTTTGTTTGCAGAACGTACAGTGCAGAGTGCTTCATACCTCGAGCCACAACCATAGCACCCCTAGTGAGCTTCCACTGGCCATCACTGAAAGTGCTGCAATACCCTTCATCATCAAGTTTACCTGCAGAAATTAAATTCAAGCGAATGTCAGGAATATGCTTCACATCTCTGAGAACTAACCTCGTGCCATTATTCATCTTCAGATACACATCCCCAATTCAAATAACTTTAACCAAGCCATCATTGCCCATATTTACTGTTCCAAAATCACCAAATTTATAAGATGTAAAGAAATCCTTCCGCGATGGAGCATGAATGGATGCACCACTGTCAATCACCCAACTAGTCTCATGGTATGCAACATTTATCATCTCATCATCATAAACAATGAGGAAGTCTGCAGGAGTGGTGGTAGCAACTCTGTTATCACCATCTTTGTCAACTCCATTGTTCGTTCCCTTCCCTTTCTCATTCTTGTTTTCTTTCTTCAATTGCCTGCAATATTTTTTGATGTGTCTCTTTTTCCCGCAATGATAACACTCAACATTTGCAAACTTGTTGGACTTGCTTCTGTTGTTATCTCTGTTCTTCGGACCTCTGCTTTTACTTTTCCCCCTCTTTTCTGTAACCAAGATCTCTAACTGTGAAGAGGATCCCTGTGTTTTTCTTCTCATCTCTTCATTTAGCAAACAACTTTTGGTCATATCTATTGTGATTACACCTTCTAGAGCTGAAGATACAATATTCCGTTTCATCTCTCTCACTCTTACTTTCTCTCTCACTCTTACTTTCTCTCTCTCTTCTCTCCACCCGTCATGGTCTATTTATAGGCCATGACCCTTTTTTGCAGTTAACCAATTACATTGGGCTTATAGCCGAAAGTTCTCTTCCTTCTGGGCTGGGTCTTGTAATGGGCTTGACCTTCCTCGGTAGACCCCCCACGTTCAGCCCATTCCAGGGTGCTTTGGCATGGATCCTTCTTCAATCATTCGACCCGATCTCGTTTCCGCGATCCATATCCGGCCCATGCCACTTGCCGCATCCTCAACTGCCCCCATAATTACCCCTTATTGATTAGGGGGTAATTATTAGAGGCTGCTAATGATGACCTGGCGGCTCGAGGAGATCGTGTGGGAGAATGAACGGTTAGATCTATGGATCGGCGTTTCGAGATTCAAAAAGACAACCCATCACTTTCCTGACTCCTCGGCTCTCAGGCTTATCTCGCATTTATAAGCTCCATCGACTCTCCATCGATCCTCTTTACCGTCTCCATCTCACCTTTTACTGTTCGAATCCTCTCCGGCGATCTCTTGCTAAAGATCTTCCTTCCAGTGGCTTTACAATACTTCTCTGCTGTTTCCACTCTCTAAGGTTAGTTTCATTTGTATTTTTCTTTTGGAAGACTTCTTTCTTCTCCCCGGAA